AGAAGCTGAAATTGACTGAACTTTTTTTTTTTTTTTTTTTGCACACGGCGGTGGAGGCCTAAAGCGAAAAGGTTTTATAAAACCCAGCTGAAGGCTTAGGACTGGGGCGACGGCACACATGCCCACAGAGAGGGCTCTGAGTGCTGCCTCTGGCACCCGTGCCCTAGGTTCGCCACCACTGTGCTAGAAGATGGAAAAAGTATGATGCCCAAAATACTGTCAAAGGAACAGCCAACATATTGAACTTGCCTTTCTTTGCAGGGAGAGAGGATCCGCCCCTTTCTCTAGGACAGGGGTAGGCAACCTTGGCTCTTTTATGACTGGTGGACTTCAACTCCCAGAATTCCTGAGCCAGCATGGCTCAGCTTGGAAACCTCTCCCTTTCCCCTCAGTATGGCTGCTTGGGAATTCTGGGAATTGAAGTCCACGAGTCATAAAAGAGCCAAGGTTGCCTACCCCTGCTCTAGGAATAAAAGGAAGGGTAACAACCACTCTAGTTTTATTATTTTAGGGAGAAAGAGACTTGTTTGCTGTACTGGGGCTTCCCTGAGGACAGGGCTTGTGTGTCGGTGGCAACTCATCTTTGTGCAATGTGATGGAACTGCATGGAAAAGAATGGAGACTGCCTTCCTTATTACACAGGACATAGCTGAATAGACAACTAGCTACACGGAACAGATAATTAGCAAACACGAAAGGCCTTACCTCCTCATAGGTTTTTGACTGCTGCTTAGAAGAGGAATGGGTTGGTTTTTCTAGAGAGGGGGCAGGACTGAACACAGTTGTTGTCTTCTCCTTTGGCTGGTTTTGGCTATTATCCAGGGACAATTCAACAGTGGCATCTGTAAAAGAACAAAAGAATGCTAAGTTGATTTCTTTTTTTCAGATGCTATATTTTTCCTATCCTGCTCTATGGAGCAGAGAGTGGGTCTCTGACAGAAGGCCACCTGAAGAGACTAGAAGCATTTGAAATGTGGATTTACAGGTGGCTGTTACGTATAAGCTGGGTTGACAAGATCAGAAATGAGGAGGTGACAAGCCACCTGGGAAAGCCAAGGGAAATCATCAAAACAATTAAAAAACAAAAATTTAGAATATTTTGGACACGTGATGCGACACCCAGAAAAATACGGCATACTCCATTTAATCCTCCAGGGAAAGATGGAAGGCAAATGAGGCCCAGGCAGAGGAAGAACATCGTGGCTTCAAAATCTAAGGGACTGGTTTGGACAAAACTCAGCAGCACTTTTTCGTGCGGCTGCTGATAAAAACAGGATCGCCAACATCATCGCCAACATCCAATAACGGATATGGCACAAGAAGAAGAAGAATTGATGAAATTCCACTTTCCTGATTGAGGGTAGTCTAGGCAGGGGTCCTCAACCGTGGCAACTTTAAGACTTGTGGACTTCAACTCCCAGAATTCCTCAACCAGTCCACAAGTCTTAAAGTTGCCACGGTTGAGGACCCCTGCTCTATAGAATTTCATCCCAGGGTGGAGTCACTTCCTGTGAACATGACAGATATTCCTGGTACAATCACTTCCCTAAGTTGAATCATTTACTTAGTGAAATTTCTTTAGAAATGGACAATCAAATCCAATCCAAGAAGACGGAACACGAAGCTACTTGTTCTGGGCCGCAACATCCATCCACTCCTCACTTTATTGCTCTTGCCGTCCTTTTATCTGCATTTTTTGATTTTAATGTAATTTCTTGGATTGCTGTTAGCCGCTCAGAGTCACCCTGATTTGAGCAACATAAATTGCCACCCTCTTTCCATCACGACATGCAGCAAGACCAACCTGCAAAGAGATCTGGATCTTCTTGTTCTTCCTGGATGCCATTTGTTTTTAAATTGTTTTCCAGTGGCACTGGGGATTCCTTCTTTGGGAGTTCTGGCTTACTCTAGGAGGATAGAGAGCGACTGTTATTCCAAGCTGCAGAATTAAACCTGGTTTTTGAGACAGAGGCAGAAAAACAGTGTTCCAATATCTCAGGGGCTGCCCCAAAGAAGAGGAAGTCAAGCTATTCTCCAAAGCGCCTGAAGGCAGGACAAGAAGCAACGGATGGAAACTAACCAAGGAGAGAAGCAACCTAGAACTAAGGAGAAACTTCCTGACAGTTAGAACAATTAACCAGTGGAACAACCTGCCTCCAGAAGCGGTGAATGCTCCAACACTGGAAGTTTTTAAGAGATTGGACAGCCATTTGTCTGAAATGGTATAGGGTTTCCTCCCTGAGCAGGGGGTTGGACTAGATGACCTCCAAGGTCCCTTCCAACTTTATTATTATAAACCTAACCAAAGAGTTTGGCAGTACAGTTTGAGCTATACACGTAGTCCTCAAGTTACAACAGTTCATTTAGTGACCGTTCGAGACTACAACCATACTGAAAGAAGTGACTTATGACCGTTTTTCACACGTACGACCATTTGAAGCATCCCCACAGTCACATGATCAAAATTCGGTCGCTTGGCAACTGGGCATGTATTTATGGCGGTCGCAGTGTCTTGGGATCATGTAATCCCCTTTTGTGACCTTCGGATAAGCAAAATCAATGGGGGAGCCAGATTCACGGAACGGCCATGTTATTAACAACTGTGGGAAGAGCCGTCGTAAAATGGGGCAAAACTCACTGAACTATCTCGCTTAGCAACAAAAACTTTGGGCTCAATTGTGGTCATAAAATGAGGACTATCTGCATGGTCCAAGAGAGTGACAGTCCAGGGCCAGTTGGCAGACCCCAGCTTCCCGTTCCTGCCCTTTGCAAAATCTTCCCATTTGAATCTGTGTATTTTTTTTCTGAAAGGGCCAACGGGCCTGGAAAGGGCTCTGTTGCTTTTAGGGTTAAATTAACAATGGAGACATTGCATGCTTTTTTTTTCCAAGGCCGCTTTGTCAAGCTAGCACATAAAAGCTCCCTGGTTTTTACCCTTGCACCTCCCTCCCACCTCCCCCCCCCACGCAGAGACAGCCTTGCCACTGTCTGCATCGCTGAGCAACGCAGTTTGCCAAAAGACAACAGCTGTCTGGACAGGGTGACGGTCCCAAGAGGCACCAGAGACAGAACTGTGGGTGCTAGAAGTCAGGGCTTTGTGTTGGTAGAACAAGCCTGGTTTAAAAACAAACCAGGTTTAGAAGTCACCCCGCTTACAGGTCACTTCTGAGAAGTTTTTAGCCCTGCAGGTCAAAATAACTGGTCTATTTGTCTGAAGCTGTGAGAATCTGTACCCCTCTTACATTTCTGCAAACACGAAAGCTTTACAACATTCTCACGTGAGGTGGGCCAGAAGAGTTGAGCTATTGTGTAAATCCACATTATGAGACATTGCAGGAAGTTGGTTTGCGAGCATCTTTTTTTTTAAAGCTTCCCGGAGCTGCAGCTCACTTCCCCAGATTTGCAGTGTGTTAAACTGAACTGGAGCTCACAAAAGTTTTCTACCTTTGAATAAAATTTGTTCATCAGGAAAAGAGCAAGCAGCCTCTTCATTCTTCCGTAGCTCTAACCCTTTGCCAAAACAAAAGTTTCATTGTGCTCGTTAATTCTGTGTTTCTGACTGTAATTTTGTGTTTCATCTGCTGGTCTGGTGACCGAATAAAAATTAATTTGATTTCTTTGCTCTTTATGTTCTTCTATTTTTCCTCATGCTTTTCCAGGCACTCTACACTCCATTAATACGATTTCAAAAATGTGAATTCTTTTACTTACAAGTGCTTGTTTTCTGTTAGTCCCCTTTAGCATTTTCACAAAGAACTCAAAGCATGCTGATCATGATGAAACCCTCGTTCTGATCACAATGGGAGGGGCTTCCCACATTTTTAAGACTTTTCTGCTGAAAAGTTGTGCAAGGGCCACTTCAGACTGCTTTGTTGTTATGTTCGCATGTGCATAACTGTTCCCTACTCACTGTCAGAAACTAAATGCCAATTTTTGGGTTTGTTTTTTTTCACAGGAAGTTTCACTCCATCTGTATTCCTTAATTTTTTGCACTTATTGCATAAATTGCTTACATTCAGCATTTTCCTTTGAAACAGAAGGGTGGGGCCTGACCTCAAATCCCCTGACTTTTTCTCCTTTGCCAATATATTAAGTGTTTCTGGATTTTGCAACGCAAGGAAGCCGGTCTCTATCTATTCTCCTTGCCTTGAAAATCATGTCACTTAAGATTTTTTTGAGGCAGATTGAGACATAACTGTTGCATCAAAACTGCAATATTTAAAGGACCTTTGCATCCATATGGTCACAGCCCAGGATTGCTGCCAAACTGACAGAGGAACATGACCACATCAACGTCACCCCAGTAAGATAACTTTCCCAGCCATAAGGATAACCTTTATTAATGCTGGCAGCTTAATGGCAGATGCTATTATAAATATATAATTCACAAAATTATAGAATGAGCATTTTTATTCCTGGCAGATCTTCAGAATTACTAAAAGATTATTCTGAGGCTAAGATAGCCATTAGTGTATTCCATAAGCAGATACAAATGATACAAAAAGAATAAACAAACAGAACAAAAGCCAAGCACAACAAAATTCCAAGACATTACCTTATTTTTTGAAAAATAGTAAGCTAACCAGCAGCTTATAAATTGTAAACACACGCTATGTATTTGTGGCATTGATTTTAGATATTGGACTAGGATTGGGGAGACCTAGGGCAAAGTCTGTTATCTCCCCCAAAATCCCATTTATGAGTCTGGCTTTCTCACAGGGCAGCCTAATTTTCAGACTTACTGCTGTGGGGATAAAATGGGATAAAACGCTGTGTATGTCCCCTTAAACCCCTGACCAAAACGCGAGATTTGAGCCCAACAAATAAATGGCAAAATATTTTGCACTACTTTAGAATAAAACACCGCATTCAGTTGATCTCGACCGATTTAAAAAGTCTAACCAGCATCCAATCTGCTTGCTAGAGGGATGGGAGGCCACCAAGGAATGTCAGGCCTGTCCGCTAGATTTGGAAATGAACAAAACTACTTCCCTTTCCAGGATTTGAGCCTTTGTGAACGGAATTAGCTGGAAGGGCAACAGCTCAATGAAGCAAGATCATAAGGGCTGCTCTATAAACGGATGTCAAAGGGATTCAGGATGAGCCACCCAGCATCTGTGAAAGACCCTCTTTCAACTGAACTGTAAGTTATCCGCAAGGAAGCAAACCAACACAAGGCAAAGATGGGGTGTGGAGCCAGATAGGGGAGAGGCGGGGAAAACATTTCTGGCTGAAAACCAAGCAGAAATTCAACCCTAAACCTGAACCCGGGTCCAGACTTTCCCTCCTTACAGACGACCCTTTTTGCAACTCTTTTGCAAAACAAGCCCAAGACGGGAGCTTTGAACAGGCAAAGATGATGTCCTGGGGCTGAACATGAAGCGGTGCTCCTAAAGCAGCACTGGGTGCCCTGCCCAGGTTGCAACCCCCCCCCCCCAGGGACAGATACAGAGAGAGACCCGGGGATGGGCTGGACTCCCACTCCCATCATCCTGGGCCACCTTTCCCCCCCCCCAAGGGCGCCTGTTTGCAAAGGGAGGGAGACCCACCACACCCAGCAACCGAGGAGGCGAAGCGGGGCTCCCGGGGTGGGGGGGGTGTCCCTCCGGGGGGGGGAGAGGGGGAGGAGGGCGACTTTCTCCCAGGCTTGCCCTACTTGGTTGCAACTTGGAGAAGGGGGGGATCGTTATCATCTGTAGGGGAGGTGCCGCATGCCCGCGGCCGGGAATGATGGGAGCTGTAGTCCTCCCCGGCACAGGTCCCGGGAGAGCAGCCCAGGGCGGTTTTCCTCGCCCGGGGAAACTTTCCCAGGCTGCAGGAGCGAAGAGGGAGGGAGGGGAGCGAGCGGGGTGGGGGGGCTCGGGGGGGGCTCCCACCTTTTGCAAAGCCCGGCGGAGCGCGATCCCTTCCCTTCCTCCCCCCCGCACACAGACACGCGTGGGTCGCCCGGTGGGCACCGCGGGCACTCACGGCGTTGCCGGTGAAAATGTCCTCCCCGTCCAAATCGCTGTCCGGCTGGGGGCCGCCAGGACTCGCCTCGGCCGCCTCCGCCTCCGCCGGGACAGGCGGGGGCAGCCGGTCCACCGGGGAGCCTCCGGACGCCATCTCGCCGCCCAGGCAGCCACTTCCGGCTCCCCTCTCGCTGCCCGGCCGGAAGCCGCAACAGGTGATTTATGGCCGAGGGGGCGGGGCCGGGCCGGGAGGCGGGGAAAAGCGATCCGGACGCCCAATCCGGACTGGCAGCAGGACCTCGGGGCGGAGCGAAGGGCGTGGCCGCCCTGCAGCTCTTGGCGGCGCCTTTAAGAGCTGTAAGTGCATGTTTCGTGTGTATATATATATATGTAAATGCATGCAAGACAGAGGTGCCTATAGAATAATACACAGCACATAGGTAATAGATTTGCATATTGTACATGTAAAATGTATCATTCGTAATTTAAATGTATGCCACGCCGTGTGTATGAGGTGAAAACGATATAATAGATATAATGTGTATATTGCATATAAAATATATCATTCGTCCTGTAAGTGTAGGGCAGTGGTGGCGAACTTATGGCACGGGTGCCAGTGGCAGCACTCAGAGTCCTCTCTGTGGGCACGCGCACCATTGCCGCAGTCCTAGGCCTTCAGCTGGGTTTTATAAAACCTTTTCGCTTTAGGCCTCAGCCACTGTGTTGAAAAAAAAAAAAAAAGGTTCAATCAGTCAAGCTTCGGCTTCAAGATCATTAAATAAGCTTCAGTATAAACCAGTGGTTCTCAACCTTTTTAATGCCGTGACCGCCAACCGGTCGTAAGTCGAGGACTACTCAACCGGTCGTAAGTCGAGGACTACTCAACTGGTGCAGCACTGTTTGCAGAATGGGACTTTTGGCGGGCTCAGCAGGGCAGAGACAGCCTGGACCATTCCTATTGGCTTTTGAAAGCCAATAGAATTAGACTCTATTCAAGAGAGTCTATTCTATTGGCTTTCAAAAGCCAATAGAATAAAAGGGAGTAGCACAGATAAGGAAAAGGGGAAAAAAATGGCAGACTGCGTTGTTTGGCGACCCCCGTGAAATGGTCGTTCGACCCCAAAGGGGGTCCCGACCCACAGGTGGAGAACTACTGCTTTAGGCCTTGGCCGCCATGTGCAAAAAAAAAAAAAGGCTCAATCAGTCAATTTCACCTTCTTGCGGGGGGAAAAAAAAGATCTTGCAAAGTTGGAATTGATTGATTGAACTTTTTAGTCCCACCCAGTCTGCTGTTACCACCACAGTCACACCCACCCAATGGGCCATATCCACCCAATGGGCCACACCCACCCGGCACTCGATGATGCATAAGTGGGTTTTGGGTTGCAGTTTGGGCACTCGGTCTCTAAAAAGTTCGCCATCACTAGTGTAGGGTGTTTGGTATTTAAGATATAATGTAAATGATTATATATAACGTGCATACTATCATTCAAGGGAGATAGGAGGCAATATAAAGTCAATACACAAAATATATAGTGTATATTTGATAGAATATCTTACAATAGGTAACATTATAGGCAGAAGAAAATAGCTGCCCTGGATCATGCTTGTAGTTCAGCGCATCAGTGCTCCTGGTTTTGATGTCTTTCCACATGGAATGAATAATTGCAATTCTTTATGAGGCAGAATTAAAATCTCCTTATCGAAGGCGGCTTGTTATTTATGTACTTTATATATTATTTTACTTTTAAAAATTCAGAGGAAGGTAAAAACTAATGCACACTAATTTAAAGTAAGAAAAAGAGATCAAAGAGAAAGCTGAACGTGCAATAAAAATAGAAAAGAAAAAAGACATAAAGAAGTGGATTCTGAGCTTCTTTACAGCAGTTACAAATACTATTATAAATTTACCTCTTATTCTATGGTTACAAGCCTTCTTTCTATAATCTATCCTATCTAATCATCAAAACCATAAGTCAGAAGTTCATTTTCTTCTGTTTTGGGTAAAAAGCCCATATGGGGTTTCCAGTTAGCCATAAACATAGATATTGATTTTTTTCTGATCAAAGAAGCCAATTTAGCCATCAAGGCTTGGTATTTATTTATTGCATTCGTGTCACATTTTTCCTGCTGGAAGCTTAAATGAGATCTTCCACTCGTCCCCACCATAGCTACCTCCTGAAGAAGACTGGAGACATGTTATGTTTTGTGTGTGTGTGTGTGTGTGTAGAAGTATTCATGGAACATTATTCTTAAGAGAGATGTTTCTCTAGAAAAAAAAAAGTAACTGGAACTTGTCCAAAGACAATTTGGTGGTTAGAAGATGCACTGAGCAGAAGTAGAAACAAACCAGTAGTGATTGCACCTTGCTGTTGAGAAGCAGGAAATGAGAGAAACCACACAGACTGATGAGGAAGGCTACACCTTCATTATTTTGAGCAACAGAAGCAGCAGTACCTTGCTTTTGAAAAGTTGGGGATCACCTCTAAGCAGTTTGGCATGGTTTGAAGTAGTTTTAAATCTTAAATTTTGTAGATGCCAATCTACAAGTTACTTTTCTACAAGTTTGCTTTTCTACTTGAGCATCCCATTAATTATCAATGTTTGCTTGATAATTCTAATAAGCAAGTTCTTTCCTTCTTCCTCCTCCTCCTCCCCACTCCTCCTCCATCTCTTAATTGTTTCCCGTGTTTTCCGGTTGAACAGAACAGAATATTAGAATCGGAAGGGGCCTTGGAGGTCTTCTAGACCAACCCTCTGCTCAAAGAGCAGACCCTACACCGTTCCAGACAAGCGGCAGTCCCACAAGTTCTGAAGGCAAGTCATTCCACTCATTCATTGTTCTGTTTGGAAATTTCTCCTTAGTTCTAGGTTGCTTCTCTCCTTGATTAGTTTTGCTTTCTATACACGGAACTTTAGGTTTTCTGATCAACTTCCATACACATACTTCCTCCACTGTAATCTGTATAGAAAACAATATCCTGCCTTTCTCCATCTACGACCAGACCATCTTAATCTGCACTTGTGTTTCATCCTGAGTTGTGAGTTGTTCCCTGCATCTCCATCAGATAGCATCGTTCTTGAGAGGGTTGTACAAGGAGTTCCCCAATACACACTGTACGCACATTAGGAAAACATCTAGTTTATTAGCTTGCTTGCTTTTAATAATGTCTATTATCTTTAAGCTGTATAGCAAAGTGGTGGAAAATATGTGCTTAGATTTGCATCTTGGTTTCACTTAAATGTTTCATTTCCTTCACAGGCACCAGATTAATTATGTACAGACAGCATTGGCTTGGCTATTTCTGCCCTGTACTTCTGCTTTTGACACAGTTTTGTGTTGCGCTCCATTGCACTTAAAAGCTGGCAAGGAGGTAGATTCTAGCCTGGACATTTTAAGAGTAAGAAAATAGCCTTAAAAGGGGCAGAAGCCCAATTGGTGGAAATTCTCTCATCTTTACTAGCAAACAGATTTGCCAGATTTTTGTAGCAATAATAAAAGCCAGGTTCAGGCGAGACCTGTTGACTTCTTAAAACACTTGGTCTTGTGCACAGCTACATTTCTAGCTGGGGGACATTTACAACAGACTGCAATCTGTGCTGGCCTCTGTCCTTTCAGCATAGGAACAAAGTGCAAATTCTTCCTCTGATGCTTGGATAGATTATTATTCAAAGACAAAATTAAGGCAGTGAAGTTGACAGCACCCCAATGTGCAGAAAAGAACAAATGAGAAGTTTTGCTTTCCTCTATTCAGTACAAACAGCTGCAACCGGAAATTAAAGGGTGGGGTTGTAGATCTAAACTGGCTCCACTTTTTGGCTGATAAGATTATAGAAGCCTCTGCAGTGATTCAGCCGAGCATTTGCAACATCAGGCAAAGCTGAAGGAAAAGCCAAATTGTAATGCAACTAACTCTTTCAATGAAGGAGACTAAAGAGCTACCGGAATGATTATGCTATTTCCCTGTTAGGCTAGGGTAGGGGTCCCCAACCCCAGTCTGGGGACCAGTACTGATCCGCACAAACCAGCAAAGCCCCATCCGCGGGATGCAGGCAGCACACAAAACCACACACTCTCTGGTCCATGGAAAAAACTCTCTCCACGGAACCGGTCCCTGGTGCCCAAAAGCTTGGAGACCTCTGGGCTAGAGGAAAAAACTGCTCTCATTAGGGCATTGCTGGCTGTGGAATTCTGGGAGTTGAAGTCCACATGCCTTAAAATTGTCAAGGTTGAGAAACACTGCATTAGGGCAATGTTTCTCAATCTCGGCCCCTTTAAGATGCATGGACTTCTGACTCCCAGAATTCCCTAGCCAGCCATGCTACATTTATATGCATTTCCCCATGCTGGCTAGGGAATTCTGGGAGTTGAAGCCCATGCATCGTAAAGTGGCTGAGATTGAGAAATGCCGCATTAGAGACACAAGGAATCCAAGAGAGCTGAATGTGCAATATCTTCAGCAGCACAGTTTTCAGATTTATTACACTTAAAAAAGATCTTCCCGCAAGGATGGTCATGATTTTGCACACTAGACAGGGAACTGGGGCCTCCTTATCCAAATCGTTGGGCCTCCCTCCCAACCGTTCTAAATTTTTTGAATTTACTGCTTTGACAAAGTCTATTCTGTATGATCTAGCTGGAGGGGCCACCTGCGCAATTGCAGGGCATCTGACCTCTACATATTGACTTTGGGTTTTGCTGTTGACATATATACCAATGACCAGACATCTATACCGATGACCTTTGCAGTGATCTTTGAAACCTTGAAGGACATGATATTTTGGAGTGCAATTTCTCTTAGATCTTAAGAGTCACCATGAAGCTTTTCTGGATGTCTCCAATGTTGGATGGGCTCAGCTGATGGGAAGAAACAGAGGGATCTGCAGGATATGATTAAACAAGTCCATAGGGCAGCTAGCCAGTGTGACTGAATCTGTAGTTTGTGTGTGCATCCACACATAGAAAATGAAGAATTCACTTGTACCTTCATGGACACCAACTTGACTTTTTTTGACCATACCTTGCAGACTCCCCTGGGGAGAAGACAATGTCTGCTACTGGTTGTATCTGTAGGAGAAGGAATGGCAGAACCTGGGGGTGGGGTGAAAAGAGGGATCAGCCTAGAATCTCTACGTGGCCACAAGCAAACCAATTCTAGCACCCTTTGAGTGCGATTAAGCTTTATCTAACTTTAACCAGATGCTGTCCATTAATTGAGAAGATTCCTGTGCATAGCCATGAGTAGCAATAAAGCAGTTTAACTAGACCTTCACATCTGGACCTGGTCTTTCATGTCTGACAGTATCTCTCTTGGAATTTTTGAGAGCTGAAGTATCCACTTTTTTGGAGGCAACAAGCGTGTTCAAACTATCTTGGACAAGATCAAGCCAACTACAACCTCCCTCCCCCCCATGTCAAAATACCAGACAGGTTTTGAGTTGCTTTTAATATATTTTAAGTGCTAAACATACAGAAGACAATAAATAATAAAGTTCTCTCCTCCCATCAGAGTTTCCCAAATGCTCACTGTACAGGCCAGCCTATGTCTGCTTACTCAGGCTGAGCATGTTGGTGTGGCGTGCGCTCTAGTGCCAGCACTAGATATTTACAATTGGCACAGAGTATTACAAAAACAATCAAACAAGCAACAAACACAAAAACCCCAAACCAAAAAAAAAGCAAAACCAAAAACAAAATCTGTGTTGTTAAATTAAGGATCCAGTTCTGGAATAACTTTCTATACATCTCTAATAGCATCTGGCTGCTCGAGTCACTGGTCCAACTCCTCATGGGCAGGACCAGCAAAGTTCCAAGTCTTGTAGCTGCTCATGAAGGTGTCTTCTGTAAAACAAAGGCAAGTCTGAGATTCCACCAGAATTTCTGCAATTCTGCAATCTCATCTGTTAGTCACTCCCTCACCGCATTATTTGCAATCGATCAATCGATCAATCCATCAGAATAGAGCTGGAAGGGACCTTGGAGGTCTTCTAGTCCAGCCCTCTGCTCAAGCAGGAGAACTTATACCATCTCAGACAGGTGAATGTCCAGTCTCCTCTTAAAAATTTCCAGTGATGGAGCACCCACAATCTCTGGAGGCCAGCTGTTCCACTGGTTGATTGTCCTCACTGTTAGGAAGTTTCTCCTTAATTCCAGGTTGCTTCACTTCTTGATTAGTTTCCATCCATTGTTTCTTTTCTTGCCTTCTGGTGCTTTGGAAAATAAGTTGACCCCCCTCCTCCTCTTTGTGGCAGCCTCTCAAATATTGGAATACTGCTATCATGTCCCCCGCCCCAGTCCTTTTCTCTAGACTAGCCAAACAAAAAATAAGGGTTACCAAGTTACAGCAGTTATTTCATAATTATCCTTGCCTAGAAATATTGTCAAAGATGTTCATGGGAAACTGCTTCTGTGCGGTTCCTAGAAAACTATGGTTCCATGAGTCACTAAGAATCAAACAAGGTTTTTTTTTTTAAGACGAGCAGCTCTCAGTTGCTGGTCAGTCAACATTACACACTTTCTAGCAATGGAGAAGTGAGCTCTAACAGCAAGCAAAGCAGCTTAAAAGGAAACTCACCAATAAGTATCATGTTCTACTGCTTGTTTTGGCAGAGCACTATCAAAACTTCATCTCCTGAAATCCTGTTATTCAGTAATTAAGCACCATGGCTGGGCAGAAGGACACCTACAGTTATCTCAAACAAAACAGGTTTGAGTCTAATCTCACACTGATGGCTGTTTTCTTTTCTTGGTGCCTCTGAGTTGGTGTCCACTCCTGATGTCTGCCTGGACAAGTCCCTGCAGTTTGCTTGGTGTTTTTTTTTTTTTTTTCAAAAGTGGTTTTGCCCTTCCCTCTTTCCTAGGGCTGAGTGACTGGCCCAAGATTACCCAGCTCTGCGCCTAAGAGGGGACTAGAACTTAAAAGTCTCCTGGCTTCTAGCCTACACTACAACCACACTGGCTATCACCGCCAGCCCCATTTCTACTAAAGCTCTGCGATGGTCCAATTTAATCTTCAAGAGTTATTCAATGGGCAGGCAAGATCAAAGCACCAGTAGCCACAGTGTCTGGTCCGTACCTAGAAGTGTTTGTTTTCAATCCAGGGCAGGGCTAAGGAAGATGTCTTCTTGGAATGTTGCTCCTGTTATAAGGATTTCTAGTCCAGCAAGCTGTAAAAGATCTCCCTGCGTTGCTGTTAAGGAGGACTAAGTTTAGAAAATTTCTGAACATCAGATGAAAGGGAAGATTAAGATAGGCATTACAGAAAGATAAGAAGTCCTCTTTCTCATGACCATGGTCAAGAGCAGGGGTGGGGAACCTTGGCTCTTTTTATAACTTGTGGACTTCAACTCCCAGAATTCCTGAGCCAGCCAGGAGTTGAAGTCCGCAAGTCATAAAAGAGCCAAGGTTGCCTACCCCTGGCCTATCCTATCTAGCATGGCTGGCTCAGGAATTCTGGGAGTTGAAGTCCACAAGTCATAAAAGAGCCAAGGTTCCCCACCCCTGGTCAAGGGCCTCCTTCCCCAATTTCTAAAAGAGCAATGAGTTCACATGTCCCCTGTTATGAAAGAGGTGAAGATGTGGACCTGTTGGACCTCCAGATGTTATTGAACTACCAGGCCTAGAATCCGCCACTCTTGGCCATATTTGCTAAGAATGCTGGGAGTTGTAGTTCAGCAAGACCTCGAGGTTACATGGCCGATCAAAGACCAAAGAGAGCTGAAAGGAGGCGTGCAATTACCAGAGAAGTCCCTCACATCTTGTCAAGTGACTGGGCTATAAAGACCCTACAGCTTTCATCTACGGTTGCCCTGCCACACATGTCGAACCCTTGCAGATATACTTGCCTTCACATAACACACTCCCTTAACCATGGATAATCCTCAGTCCATCTGGACATCCAAGCGGTTCACAATGTCTTTGTCCACATAGCGACAGAAGAGGAAGAGAAGGTTGCTGGGAAGGTGAAGGGGTTCCACCATGGAAGTTTTGGGAACTTGAGACAGCTCTCTTGCAACAAGAAGCACCAAGTCCACCCTGCGAAGAATGGCACAGAGCAACAGTAGGCAACCCAGCACTGCTCAGGCCCCCCAGACTAGGATCGTTCTGCTCACCAGATGATTCCTTACCATTTTTCCAAGTCTTTAGTATCAGGCTTTGGGGATGTATCCGAAGAGAGCCATCTCTCACCATGGCTCAAGAGCAGGTACAGCAGCGAGATGGCAAACTTGGGCAAGAAGGTTGAGAAGATCAGGAACCCACTAAGAAAACACTTGGACTCAACTTAGTCACCATCAAGACAGGAAGAATTGAATTACACACCACTTAGATCAGTGGTGGCGAGCCTATGGCACGCGTGCCAGAGGTGGCACTCGGAGCCCTCTCTGTTGGCATGCGCACCACCGCTGCCAGCAGCAGGTCCATCAGGCCGCCACCGCCGCGCAGAGGCAGGAGCTCCATCCAGCACAAAGGAGGCGAAGCAGCCGACTAGCAAGCTCAAATAGAGGTGGTAGAGCAGAGCTCACCAATCATTGTTGGACTGGAACAAAAGGGAGGGGGAAGCATTCTGCACTGCAAATGGGGTGGGACTAGTGCCTGCGTGATACTCACTAGCCCTGCCCCATTCTTGCGTGATGCAGCACCTTGTATCTGCACCCTGCGTTGTGACAACGGCCGTTTTTGCACCTTGCAGCACGGTAGCCCATTTTTGCGCCCCCAGTTTTTGCGTGCCAGAGGCAGCACTCAAAGAGACGCCTCCCTGCCCCCCTCCCCCCAGGGCACCACAATGCTGATGCAGCCCTGGCACTTTGTGATAAATAAATGGGTTTTGGGTTGCGGTTTGGGCACTCAGTCTCTAAAAGGTTCGCCTCACTGACCTAGATGTACTTGCTAAGAAAAATCCTTCACATCTGAGTCTGGTATGGATTCCGCTCTGGATTTGTATACTCCCGTACCTTATTGCTGAAGACCAAAGTGAGGGACTGTTTGACAGAATCGGGCTGCAACTGGGTGAGTTCCTGGAGGAGATCCATCAACTCTCTAAATGTCAACTGTCCAATGGTGTTACAGAGAGGAGTGTAGAGGACAGAGAGGGACTGCCAGAATCAAAAGGACATGGAGGAGGAAGAGAAAAGCGACAAAACATTAGATCAAACTTGAGTCTTCTACTCTGGGAAAGATTATTGTATCCAGTCCACAGGCCAGAAATACCGTGGAATCCAATCAACCATTGTATCAAGCTGGCTTCACCCATGGGACTAAACCAGATTGTTGCTTGTTTTGGCCCAGCATCCTAAATGGACCACCCTTGTGATGTGTTAATTCAGGTTTATCCCTTCATATGTTTAGTGTAGTTAGCCAGATGTAGTTTATTCAAGAAATCGTGGCTAAACCAACTATGGTGCATATATGCAACCCCCCTTTTTAGCAATATCAACAGACCGAACCACAGAACCAATTCCGACTGTAAGCCACCCCACAAAATAAGCTTGGGACATCAACTCAAATTAAGTTCATCGATTTTGTCCAATTGTTTTCTGAAGACCTTGGGCCAGAAGAAGTCAAGTTGTTCCTTTAGGTGGTTCTCAGAAATGCACAACACTTGCCTTGCATGCAAAAAATCTCCCCCCCCCCATGCAAGGATCTCCAGATATCTGGATAATGGCCAAAGGAGAACTACCTCCTCCAATAGGTCCTTCTTGATGAGCATTGCTAGGTGTTGCACAATACTGACAAGGGTCATCTTGGCTCTCTCCAGGGACAGATGTGGCAGCAGACGGGCCACCAACCGCTTCCCTTTTCCTACCAGCAGAAGCTGTAGAAACTCCTCTTTCACCTCTCTGGAAAAAAAAAAAACACCCAAGAAAATCAAAGCAAAGGCGTTGCCAGGAAGGAGAAAACCACACTCCAGAGAGCTCAATATTATAGTTACAGAAAAGTCCTGGAATTTCCAGAAATTATCCAGAATCACTCTTGATAAGAGCAGCACCCAGAATTCCCAGCCAACGTGGTAGAGCGTGGCCTTCTCAAATTTGAAAGCAGGTGGTCATGTCGTGGGGAAGATGTGAACAACAGTTCCAGATGATGTGGACAATGTTAGGTTAGAAGACATTTCCCTTCAGCAGGAAAGCAGAAAGACGAAGAGAGAGAAACTGCTGATACATTAGAGCAGTGGTTCTCAACCTTTTTAATGCCGCGACCCCCCAACTGGTCGTAAGTCGAGGACTACTCAACCGGTCGTAAGTGGAGGACTACTCAGCTGGTGCAGCACCATTTGCAGAATGGGACTTTTGGCGGGCTCAGCAGGGCAGAGGCAGCCTGGACAATTCCTATTGGCTTTTGAAAGCTAATAGAATTAGACTCTATTCAAGAGAGTCTATTCTATTGGCTTTCAAAAGCCAATAGAATAAAAGGGAGTAGCACAGCTAAGGAAAAGGGGAAAAAAAATGGCAGACTGCGTTGTTTGGCGACCCCCGTGAAATGGTCATTCGACCCCAAATGGGGTCCCGACCCACAGGTTGAGAACCACTGCATTAGAGAGAGCAACTCAAATGATAGGCAGAATTCATGTAGACACAAAATCGTTGTAAAAGTGCCTTCCTGTTATTATTGCTAGTAATTTGTCTTGGACTCACTCTTTACCAGAATGCTCCTCAATTCTCAGTGCTTGGTAGATGCGTTCTACTACACGGACAAGTTTCTCGTATAATTGGGGATGCATCTCTTCTGGGGCCTGATCCAGTTTCCGCTGAATGTCCTCCATCTCCAGGAGTATAAGGTACATCTGTTTCCACAGCATATAAATATCAGCCAGGACATTACAAGATATTGTAACAGTTTCCTGCACATTATTTGATGCATTGCTTTGCAGCCTTCCTAGGGGCTTCAGAGTTTCTTGCATTTCTGGTTAGCTGCAGGATAGAAGTAAGGCAGATTTTTGTTGTACTTTTGAAGTTCAGGAATTTATGGAGAGGTCCATGCCTTTATTTCCCATGGAGACTCTGCCATCAGGGAATGGGGAAATTTCTGGCCAGAAAATGTTGACCTACAAGCTTCAAATGGCCAGACAGCCCAAGACTGCCAGGAGAAGCTATTTTGGAGAATCTCCCATTCTAGAACATAGTTCACTCTTCTGCAGATTGTGATCAAATTCATATAAAACATAGTAATCGCCCTTAAAAATGTAGACCCTCTGCTCAGAGTGTTGTCATAACAGAAACATACATCTATTTCCCAGGAAGCCATAATATTTTGAACATTTTTTAAAACTTTCATAACTAAGGAGCATTTTGATGGGACCATTATGGAGATTGATGGGAACCCAGCAAAAATCATCTACTCATTCAGGAACTTCTTAGAATAATCTTTTTCAAATCCCAGAATGGGACTTATAAAAGACCTTGGGAAGATTATTTGACAGTGAAGAGAAGCTGGAGAATTATTGGTCTGTAGGCAAGGGATCTAAGCCAAACTGGGAGATCCATGGAATTGCTAATACTTTGAGTTAAACTCTTAAAGAGTTGTGTTACACTTTCTACGATTCTATTCTAATTAGATGTCGTAGAATTCTGTGGCTTGGAAAGATCAAACTGATGACACCCTGAATTTGGATTATTTGACACTGAAGGAAGGACATTATTGTCACGGTATGTGGGAAGGACCTTTGGAGACTGGGCAAAGAGAGGCTGCTAAGGGAAAAGTCAGATAAGAGACTGCTTGGCCCTCAACTGGATAGTGGATGGGGTAAGACAGTGGTGGCGAACCTATGGCATGGGTGCCAGAGGCGGCACTCAGAGCCCTCTCTGTGGGCATGCGCGCCGTCGCCCCAGTCCTAGGCCTTCAGCTGGGTTTTATACAACCTTTTCGCTTTAGGCCTCCACCACCGTGTACAAAAAAAGGTTCAATCAATCAGTCAATTTCAACTTCTCACCGGGAAAAAAAAAAGATCTTGCAAAGTTGGAATTGATTGATTGAACTTTTTAGTCCCACCCAGTCTGCCATTACCACCAAAGCCATGCCCATCCAATGAACCACGCCCACCTGGCACCCGATGATACATGAGTGGGTTTTGGGTTGCAGTTTGGGCACTCAGTCTCTAAAAGGTTCGCCACCACTGGGATAAGAGGTTCAGAAAATAACCTTCCTAATTATTCGGGCTGCAAAAAAGATGGAGATGAGCGATGGTGATAGGCTTGTACTTTCAGATGTGCAAGATTCTATCAATGTAAGTTTTATACAATAAAGCAGAATCAGGTCGTCTGGTCACGATTCCTCTCTGGCTCACCACACAGGGCCAACAACCATCTGCTTTAATCTACCCAACTATTAGACAGTACGACGTAAGAAATAGCCAGCAACTTACTTTCTCAATCTGGTAAAGCACTTGTAGCCGCTGATTCCCTACCGCCTTGGGAAATAAAGAGGGGAAAGAAAAACATTGAGTCACTGGAAGAGAAACCATCTGCGCCACGTTCTAACAAGTCTGCGGGCCACTTTCCCCAGAATTTGAAACGCAGAATTCTCCAAATGAGTGACAGACAGTGGAGTGGTCAGACGACCCACTATCTTCATCCAACACCCAGGACAAACTTGATTTAATATGTTTTAAGATACCTGGGCGTTATTTCAAATGACCTCTCTCCCCCCAAATATTATAAAGAGAGGCACGTGGTCCTGCCATTCAGATAGAGCATGGACAAAACGATTGGGCACCTACCTGTTCCAGAGAGAAATGGTACACCGCATCGATAGCTCTGCGGGGACTGTAGCAGGTGGACATGGCTACCTGTCCCAAGGACCCTGGAATCCGCACTACTGGCAGAGGAAGTCACTGTCAGGAGACGTGCGTGCATTTCCATGCCTTAGAAACCCCCTTGCACAGGACTTACCAGATTCGTAGGTCTCCACTCTTTGGATATATGGGGTGACTAACTTAGGGACGTCCAGTTTACTCCCTGGCAGGAGCCCTTTCTCAGCTTGTTTGTGCTCCAGCTTGCGATAATATTCCTGAGGACAAGATAGGACAAACCTGCAACACGTACATTAGAGCGGGGCTTTTCAACCAGTGGTACGGGTACCACCTGTGGTCCATTGGCACCTGGCTGGTGGTACGCGACCCTCCTAAAAAAGTGGTAGCGGGGGAGGAGAATGAGCTGAACCGGTGGCAGCCCCGCACAAGCCTGAGCGAGAGACGGCTGGAGCTGCAGGGCTGTCAGGGCTCAGCGGAAGCGCCAGGATCAGCGCCAGACTCCAGCTGGAGCTCGGCGCTGATCCTGGCACTTCTGCTGAGCCCAGAAGAAGCGCCGATCAGCTGGAAAGCAGCACTGATCCTGGCGCTTCTGCTGAGCCCAGAAGAAGCGCCGATCAGCTGGAATGTTGCAGCCTCTCCAGGGTCTTGTGATTTACATTCAGATGCTTGGCAACTGATTCATATTTATGACAGTCACAGTGTCCCAAGATCATGTGAAGTGACCAAAACCTGCCGCAACCACCCAGCAGATGGGAGGAATAAAAACTAAACACCCCCCCCCACTCCACCTCCGCTGCCAATCCTCAACAAAGAAAACCTTGGACAGGAGGAAGAGCACCGATGGGTGGGCAGGCAGGTGTCTTGCTCGGCTGTGGCTTGGGGGGCACTTTTTTCAGTGCCATCATAACTTTGAACAGTCATTAAGCGAACTGTTGTAAGTCGAGGACTAGCTGTACTTTATCACTTTCCCCCCCCCCTTTTTTTTTTGTTATCAAGCTTTTGACCCCTTGCTAGGCGACTGGTGGTACTCGGATGTTGCCATATCCTAAAAGTGGTACAGTGGGTGAAAAGGTTGAAAAGCCCTGCATTAGAATTGTCTTTAGAGCATTATATTTGTCCTGTTTTCCACTGGCATCTTCAACCGGGATCGAAGGATGGTTCTGAAACCCATTTGGTCCAGGCTGTGATCTCCTGACCATTCACCTGTTCACCTGGCAGGACTTATTTTAAGAATATCTGGCCTTGCACCTGACCAAGAAAGCAGCTCATTTCAACCTCAGGATGCCCCGAAGCTCCAGGACCATGTATAGCCCCAAGACTTCTCACCAATGGCTCCCAAGACTCCCTAAATTGGCACTACACTGAAATGTTTACTCTGACCTAAGAGGAAAAGTGTAAGATATATTAATGGTTACACAAATGGTTTAAAGTAGTGGTTCTCAACCTGTGGGTCAGGACCCCATTTGGGGTCCAACGACCATTTCACGGGGGCGCCAAACAACGCAGTCTGCCATTTATTTATTTAATTAATTAATTTATGAGGCTTATATACCGCTTTAAGTGCAAGCACTCTCTAAGCGGTGTACACCAGTAAGCAATGTGTGTGTGTATATATATATATATATATATATATATATATATATATATATATATATATATATATATATATATACATTGCCCCCACCAATCTGGGTCCTCATTTTACCTACCCCGGAAGGATGGAAGGCTGAGTCAACCTTGAGCCGGTGAGATTTGAACCGCTGACCTGCTGAACACAGTCAGCTAAAGTGGCCTGCAGGACTGCACTCTAACTGCTGCGCCACCTCGGCTCCTTTCCCCCCCTTTTCCTTAGCTGTGCTACTCCCTTTTATTCTATTGGCTTTTGAAAGCCAAGAGAATAGACTCTCTTGAATCGAGTCTAATTCTATTGGCTTTCAAAAGCCAACAGGAATTGTCCAGGCTGTCTCTGCCCTGCTGAGCCTGCCAAAAGTCCCCTTCTGCAAACGGTGCTGCACCAGTTGAGTAGTCCTCGACTTACGACCGGTTGAGTAGTCCTCGACTTACGACCGGTTGGGTGGTCGCGGCATTAAAAAGGTTGAGAACCACTGGTTTAAAGGATAGGTTAACTTTTGATTCTTCTTCCTGGACAAGGGCTCAAGACTAAGCACTGTCCTCAGTCAGAAAAAGTCTGCACATCTTGGATGTAACTTGTTGGTCAAATGAACTAATGGGCAAACCAACAGTAATGTTCTTAAAGGGTCTGGTGGGAGTGAAGAGAATTAGGGAAGAGCAACTGTTGCAGAGTCCTCCAAAACCCCTTTTTGCTTTGGGAGATGCCTAACTTCTCGTGCGTTCCTTGACTTCCTCATCTTCGGTTCCTCCCTTAACAGCATCACTTCCAAAGGAACAAGGATGGATCTACAACTACAAGTGATTCATCGTGATGCCCATCCCAAATCCCACCGCTCTATGGATTCTCCTTGCCCAGCCTGCAGCTTGAGACTTGATTCCACCCGTTTCCTGCACTCACCTGGTAATAATAGTCATCCCGCTGGGGGTTTTCACTCTGCAACTGTAACATCTGTACCTTGATCACCCAATCTTTTTCAAACGGAATCATGAGAGCAGAGAAAGGATCCACTTCTGGCGTCTGAGAGTCCACGCTGGGGAGTCTTGGAGGTAAGCAGGAACATGATCTATGAGATACATTTTGAAGCCTTCTAACTCCCCTGGTCCAAGAAGTCAACTTCACCCAAGGAATAGATCCTCATTTTACTTTTAACTCACTGGGGAGATTTTGAAGGAGCTCTTGAATCATCTGGACCAACGAGCCATAAATGGAAGGTCAGTAACCAACTTAAATTTTATCCTGAAGGCCTTATCTTAAATCTGGGATTTGTTCCACCAGAGGGGAGTTAAGTGTGTGGAACGAGTACACGAAGCCACACAACCATTCATGTATAAGACTCTGAAGCAAGGGTAGGAAATCTGGGGACAACTTAGTGATAAATGATTCATGCCCAACAATTCAGCCCTGGTGGGTATACATTTGGGAAAAAGCATCTCAAGGAGATTTCCCTTTTAAATAAACTCAGTTAAAACGTGGCTGTGAATTCATATTCCAGTTTGCAAGATTCGGCGTTCATGCCCAGAGTAGCATTAATGATATTTTATTGAACTCTGAAAACAAGCTGTCTGGAGATTGGTCTGACTTTGGGGAAGGTGGAAGGTGCAGAAAGACGGTGGTTCTAAATGATAGCAATGATGGTGCACCGTTGGAACATCTGAAGGACCAGGTTGGGACAGACTGTCATGGGAAAAGTTGATCCGGTTGATCTGATGACAGGTAATCATCACTGCCATCTGTATAATTGTTGCCTCTTTGCTCTTGCAGCTACATGGAACATTGCAATTCGAGACCACAACTTTTACTTTGTGCTTCCCTTTTACATTTTCTCTTGTCCTTTACCTCACTTTTTGCCCTCGCTGCCTTTGAGTCAGAAATCGCTGATGTAAAGGATGCAACTGAGTCATTGCACTGGGCAAGCTACAGAAATGGAAGACAAAGGAGAGCAGTGAATCCCAACTCTCTCCAGAGGGGGAGACCAAAGAGTTGTCTGAACCCTTGTTTACCTGATCTTCTGCTGGCTGCCACTCAGCGGGCTGAAGGGTGGCGTTTCAGGGGTGTGCGTCAAAGCCCATGTTGGGCTGCTGGCGTTGGAAAACAATGGCTGGAAGGGAGGTGGAGAGGCATATCCTGACATCTGAAGAGGGAACACATGGAGGATTAGACCCCAACCGCTCTGGCCATTTTGTTCTCCATCAGTTGGTCTCTGACAGAAGGCCACCTGAAGAGACTGGAACAGGGATAGGCAAGCTTGGCTCGTTTATGACTTGTGGACTTCAACTCCCAGAATTCCTGAGCCAGCATGGCTCAGCTTGGAAACCTCTCCCTTTCCCTCAGCATGGCTGGCTCAGGAATTCTGGGAGTTGAAGTCCACGAGTCATAAAAGAGCCAAGCTTGCCTACCCCTGGACTAGAAGCATTTGAAATGTGGATTTACAGGCGGCTGTTACGTATAAGCTGGGTTGACAAGATCAGAAATGAGGAGGTGATAAGCCGTCTGGGAAAGCCAAGGGAAATCATCAAAACAATTAAAAAACGAACATTAGAATATTTCGGACAGGTGATGCGACACCCAGAAAAATACGGCATACTCCATTTAATCCTCCAGGGAAAGACTGAAGGCAAACGAGGTCCAGGCAGAAGAAGAACGTCGTGGCTTCAAAATCTAAGGGACTGGTTTGGACAAAACTCAGCAGCACTTTTTTGTGCGACTGCTGATAAAAATAGGATCGCCAAGATGATCGCCAACATCCGATAACGGATATGGCACAAGAAGAAGATCAGATGCAGCAGGAGAAAGATCCGAGGGTGTCACTGAGCCTTCAGCAGTTGGAAATCTCTTTCAAGGTCTTTGAGATGGAATCCAATCAAACCTTTTGTATACACTGCTTAACAAAGAAGACCTGGTTAATGGCACCTTTGGCTGCTTCTCCAAACCAGAGTAACGGAAAACCTTATTCTACCTGAATACAGGTAACCACTGTAATGGAGCTTTACCCATCACATTCATCACTCATGGCGGTCGTAAAATGAATGGGTCATACTGGCTGGGGAATTCTGGGAGCGGAGGTCCACACACCTCCAAGGTTGAGCAACTCAGTCCCAGAGGTATGATATTCAAATTGCAGAGCACCTCACCTGGCTAAGGCCAAACGGACGACGTATCCTGCGAGGTGGAGTGAATGGATACGGTAGTCTTATGGAAGGCGACATCACGGGAGGTTCCTGCAAGGCAGGAAGAGGACTGGGCCGTGAAAAAATTCATCAAAATTGAGAAGTACAAACATACAACTTGACCATATATAAAATGCACATTAAAACCAGAATCCCAAACTCTTGGAGATCTCTGCACCCACTCTAGTCAAACGGTTTTATTATTCAAAAACAGCTGCAACAAGGTTCCTTTTACAGCGCTGAGCTTTGGCAGAATCGGAAAGTTCAGGGAATCTGGAATTCAAAAGATTTCCCTTACTTGACGCATGAAACGCTGGGGAGTGGGACTCAGAGTCCTCCCGCAGAAAGCTGAGCAGTCCACGTCAGGGGAATCAAGGAAGCTGGTCCGCACCGGTGAAGTCAGGAAATCTAGATTGGCACGGGACCGGGACACCCTTTCTAGAGCCTGAAGGACAAGAAGTGGGGGACAACCCCGAATTGCAATTCACTGGGGTTATGGAGATGGGGACGTTGACAGACAGCAGCAAGAGAGTCAAAATCAAAGCACTGTCACGATGCAGATAAAAATCAGGCAAAGCTTCAGTCGTACCGTTGAGCGTCTTGACTTCTTTTGACCACATCTTCTGGACACCTCCCATGGAGATGCGAATGCGGTGCACTTCACTCACCGTGATTAAAAACCTGTATTACTGCGTTTAGGGGTAAGTATTTAGCTTCTGCTCCGAAGCAGATTGTCAGACCTCAAACCTTCCTCGTTTAAACCCCATTTCAGTTGGAAGTGCAATCACTTCTCGGAGGATGAAAGAGGAAGAAGCCAACCCTGGCCCTTTCCTTTTAGGTCCAAGTTATCAATCATCTTGATTTTAAAGTAATAAGAGGAAATAGTGTTAGCAGTAAAATATAAACTGGAGTGTCCTCCAGTGGCAGAAGGGTGAAGAACTACAGAAGATAAAAAATAGGCTACCAAAAAGCCATTTTTGAACTGATTAATCCAGAATTTTGTTTAATTAAGGCAAATGGGCCCAATATCATCTCTTGCTATTTCCTCTCTGAAATCCTTCCTTCCTTCCTTCCTTCCTTCCTTCCTTCCTTCCTTCCTTCCTTCCTTCCTTCCTTCCTTCCTTCCTTCCTTCCTTCTTCCATTTCCCCTCCCTCCTCTCTTCTCCTTTTCTTCTATTATTCTTTGGTCCTCCATATCCACACCAGGGTAATTCTCATTCTGACAATAAAAGATCCATCCCCTAAAATCTGAGCAGCTTCAAATACTTCTAGGCTCCTTCAAGCCACAGCAGACTGGGTTCACACATGATTATATGTGCTTTTTTTTTGGTGCTAGCCATACTGGATGAATCCAGCCATCAGAGTCTGAAAACCCTGCCTCATGGCTCCGTGTTTGATCCATGCAGCCCACCCTGCTCAGGGTCATTAATGCAGCCGAGGTGGTGCAGCAGTTAAGAGTGCAGTACTGCAGGCCACTTTAGCTGACTGTGTTCAGCAGGTCAGCGGTTCAAATTTCACCGGCTCAAGGTTGACTCAGCCTTCCATCCTTCCGAGGTAGGTAAAATGAGGACCCAGATTGTTGGGGGCAATGTAACTACAGATATACATTGCTTACTGGTGTACACCGCTTAGAGAGTGCTTGCACTTAAAGCGGTATATAAGTCTCACAAATAAATAAATAATGCAGCTGAGCTTAACCAAGATGGATAGATAGTGAAGCCAGGCCTAAGCCCAACCGTTTTGCTTTCAGAGAAAAAGAGTTACCTGCATCATCGATAGCGACGGGCTCCTCCTCAGAGTTGGAGTCCTCCACATACACTTTGAATGGGGCTGAACAGGAGGGGGGAAAAATAGATGCAAAAATGAGAAAAGGGACAAAATGTCCGCGGGCAATTCGTAAGGTTAAAGACGCCTAGTTTTCTACCGAAAGCATTGAAGGCTGCTTCTATGGCCCATTTGTTACCCATTTAGAGAGGCAGTGTCAGAATCCAATTATATTTCATTTCTAGTTATCGACTATGGAAAACCCCATTTCTGCCCTCTCTGGATTCTGTCATACTACGAAGGGGAAGGGGGATGAGCAAAGGGGTTTTATGGCTCTCACTTCCTTCATTAAAACTTCGAAGGGACTGAATGTGGATTCTCACCAAGAGGACTGACCATAACAATATGGCCATCGCCTTTCATCTACTACTCTCTGAAGTCTCCCTTTGGCCGGCAGTAAGGGAAAAGGGGGGGAACAATGCAGCGCCTGGAGTCTGGGATTCCTCCTGGAAGAACTGTGGGGTGGGGGGGTTGCTTGAAAACACTTAAAACATTGAAGGGTGGGAGAGAATTCCTCAGATCCTGTCTAGCACGCCTACAATCATTTTCTCTTAATAAAGATGCCTGTTGGAAAAGATATTCCAAGAGTTCTGTATTCTTAAGCTGTAAAGTGAGGTGGGTCCTTACAGGCAGTTTGGTCTAATGGTTAAGGCTAGAAAGCAGAAGGGGGCAAGTTCTAGTTCCCCCTTACTCACAAAAGCTGTCTGGGTGACCTTGGGCCAGTCACTTAACCGTGTTACTAACTTAACTGCAGTGATTAACAACCTTTGCAAGAAACGTCGTAAAACGGGGCACAACTCACTTAACAAATGTTTCACTTGGCAACAGAAAGGTCAGGCTCATTTATGGCCGTAAGTCAAGGACTACTGATATTACAACCTGGCTCTGACGATTGGCATGGGGGTCAAAGAGCAACAGGCGATCCTGGGGGTGGCTGGTAACGTGAGGGTGCTCCCTCCGCCTTGTAAAATTTGCAGTGTTTTAATTTTAATTTGGTTCACAGCTGATGTTTTCCCCACCGGTGGATCCCTTCCAAAGCAGCCCCTTCCTGTAAAATCCTGCCTAACCCCTGCCTCCTCCCCTTTTTTATTTCTTCCGTTAATACACATTTATCGGAAGGGGAGGGGGCAGGAATTAAACCGTCTTACCAAGTAACCAGGAGAAAATTCCGAAAAATGGCTGGCCACTTTGCTATCGAGAACAGCAGAATCTTCTTTCTGCCAAGAGAGAGAGAAAAAAAAAAGGGATTCAAAAAAAAAAAAATGTGACTAAGAAGATACGCAATATCCCAAATACAGAATTAGCACTTCTGAGACTAATTTTATTTTTCAGGGGCATTATCAGCATCACAAAATATCAGTTATAGATTTTATTTTTTTGCTATGCATTTAAGATCAAGGCATGGGAATTTTTTTTCTATAGATGTAATCCTCCTTTAGTCAATTACAAAATTATAATTTGAAGTCAGAATCGTAATGGATATATTTATTTAACATATGTTATTGTTGTTAATTGCGAAGTCGTGTCAGACCCATCACGACCCCATGGACAATGTTCCTCCAGGTCTTCCTGTCCTCTACCATCTTCTGGAGTCCATTTAAGTTCACACCTACTGCTTCAGTGACTCCATCCAGCCATCTCATTCTCTGTGTCCATGGGGTTTTCATGGCAAAGATACTGGAGTGGTTTGCCATTTCCTTCTCCAGTGAATCACATTTTGTCAGAACTCTCTGCTATGACCTGTCCGTCTTGGGTGACCCTGCACGGCATAGCTTATAGCTTCATTGAGTTATGCAAGCCCCTTCGCCATGACAAGGCAGTAATCCATAAAGGGGATTTAACATATACCTCACCTTTATTTTATCTTGTTTACAAAAAAAGCTAGGGTGACAAATATACATAATATCCTTCCTCTTCCTATTTTGTCCTCTACAACAACCCTATAGGGTAAGTTGGGCTGAGACATTGTGGCTGGCCCCAAAGTCACCCAGCTGGCTTTCGTGCTTAAGGCTGGACTAGAATTCCCAAACTCCTAGTTTCTAGCCTGGTGCCTTCACCACTAGATCAATGTGGGCCAAGAGAATTAAAACTTTACTCAGTGATTTACAGCCTGGCCACCTTCTCTCCACTTAACCTACTTCCCATGGAAGTCCCCGGGCATACCACTGCTGGGTCCTGAGAGAAGATGGGGTCTAGATGAAAGAAGGATCAAAACCTGAGCTTAGATCAGCTTTAGAGTCTGCAACGTTAGAGAAGCAATCTAGTGCCCTTTCAATGGATTGGGGGAGATGTCTTCCCTTCTTTCATAGCCAACTGGTCTACCACCCATTCTTGCAATCCTGCAGCTCATCTCCATCTTGAGAACATCTACCAAAGGAAGTTTCCCAGATTTCCCCTCACCTCCAGCAGACGCTGACCTCGTACAGCACTCATAACAGCTGGATCTTCCAAGTCATGCAGTTCTCCTGCATTCTTACTTGTAGGCACCTCTCCATGGTCGGTCATGGCTTCCTCGTCGGCCTCCATGGTGCCAGAAGCAAACTGGGGTTGAGACTCTTCGGAAAGACTTTCGTCTTCTTTTCCATCTTCTACCATCGGTTCCTCATCTGACGTTCTGGTCTCCTGTTCTCCTTCAGCATCGACCATCTCCCCTTCCCTGGGGTCAACCACAGCCACCTTCTGAGATTCCGTTGTCAAGGCCTTTGCCCTATTGTCTTCAGGGTAGGCTTGCAAACCAAGAGAACGAACATCTAGGTCAATACAGAAACACCCTTATGCTGAAAGGGAAGGTCTGTAACTGTAGTATGATTCTTACGTTATTACACTCTCAAAGTAAGATTTGACCCGATAAAGGTCCTGGGTTCAAGCTGTCTTCTTTTCTGAGATCCTTGCAGCCGTACTAACAAAATTTAGCATTTGGTGGATGTTACTAGACCCCCTTTAGTTGTCGAAGTAGCGAAGTAGCAATTTGTATTGTTTATTGTTCAAGTATGTTCATCCTCAATTTCCATAGGGATAATTATCTGCACCTTTTAAAGAATTGCCTTTATGTTTTTCTCTCTTATTTATCCTTTACTTGTATTCTTTTAAAGAAAAAAGAATTCAATTATGATAGCTTTGGTTTACTCTTGTCCTTCTACTACAGTGGTTCTCAACCTGTGGGTCGGGACCCCATTTGGGGTCGAACGACCATTTCACGGGGGTCGCCAAACAACGCGGTCTGCCATTTTTTCCCCCCTTTTCCTTAGCTGTGCTGCTCCCTTTTATTCTATTGGATTTTGAAAGCCAATAGAATAGACTCTCTTGAATAGAGTCTAATTCTATTGGCTTTCAAAAGCCAACAGGAATTGTCCAGGCTGCCTCTGCCCTGCTGAGCCCGCCAAAAGTCCCATTCTGCAAACGGGGCTGCACCAGTTGAGTAGTCCTCGACTTATGACCGGTTGAGTAGTCCTTGACTTACGACCGGTTGGGGGTCGCGGCATTAAAAAGGTTGAGAACCACTGTTCTACTATGTCATTACAAGCTCTCTGCTCCAACAAGAGAAGACAGGATTTGCTGTTCCGGTATATTTTACCTGAAGTGAATGTTAAGTTAATATAGAGATCAATTTCATCCTCTTCAGTTGCTTTGTCAATCAGAGTTTCTTCCCCTATGTCCTCCTCCATCATGAAATAATCCTCTAGGATCTGATTTAAACAAACAAACAAACAAACAAACAAGAAAATGGAAACTCATATAACATGGGAAAAAATAGGAAATTTGACCCAAACAGAATCTCAGCGTGGGCCAGTTCAAGAAAGTTTAAACTCAGAGTTTTGCTTAAACATCTGTCTACTTCAGCCAGAAGTCGTGTTTTGTACTGAGCCAGCATCATTGCTGAGTTACTACTATCTACGCTAGTAGTAGTTCAGTTCCTCTCCAACTATAAGACGGCCAATAATTTCGTTTTCTTTAAGATTCAAGCCCTAGTTTAACAGCCCAAAAGCCTCTGCTGAGAAGGATAAATCCAGCCTCTTCCTCCCTTCAGCAGTCACGAGGAATAATTCATATTTAGGAGGGAAGGCGAGGGAAGAAAGGAGGCGGAACAACTCCATGAGTAAAGGGAACTGCTAGCCCCGCGGAGCATCCTCTCCACTCCGCGCTCCGGAATCCAGGAGTCAGCCTTGCTACTACCGAGTGCACGGACACAGCTACCCCGGGGAAATGTACGACTCAACCCTACACTCGCTACTCAAGGGTAGTATTTAGAGGCAGGAGCAAGGAAAGCCGAGGAGGACGCAGCTTCCCACAAAGGCAAGAAAGACAAGGAGGTGGGGATGCAAACGCGCGGCGCTTCGTCCAGCCGGCTGCTTACCACGTCCGGCGCCCCGGCGGCTTCGCCTCCTTCGGCCATGGAGCCCTCGTAGCGCCCTCGCCCGGCTGCGGTCGCTCCCTGCGGCCATGCCGGCGCTTTTAAAGGGCCTTTTCGGGGGCGGGGCGGCGGGTCCGGGTCTCATTTAAACAAATACACCCCCACCCCTTTAAGGGACCCAGCCACGGGGGAGTCGGGTCCCGCGTGGCTCCGGTGTGCGGGGCCAGCTGCTTTGCCCGCTCCCTCCGCTCCCCTCCGGATCCCGCGGAGCAGCGAGCCGATTTGAGTTCGAATCGAGCTGACTGGAGTGGAACCCGGGTGTATTCCATCGTGGGTCAAACGGGTCGTGTGAAAGCGACCGCCTCGGTGTTTCCGGCCTCGGAGCCAGTCTGCGCGCCAGGCTGGTTTGCTGGACTTCGGGTCGCCGTCATTCCTCGCCGGGCTGGCCGGGGATGATGGGGCTAGTCCGGATGGGAAAAGCGACCGTCGTTTCTCAAGGATGGCTCCTCTTTCTCCGTTTACGGGGAGCGTTTTCTTGAGTTGGGGGGGGGCTTGCTGAATTAATTTCCCTTGGCTCGTCCTTGCTGTGTTCTCTCTCTCTCTCTCTTTCTCTCTCTCTCTCTCTCTCTCACACACACACACACACAAACACACACACACACACACCCTGCAGTCGGACCAGGTGAAAGGTAGCTAGAGCCATTCGCACAACAGGCTTGCTTTGGTTTTAACTTCGGGGCTGGTTCCCCCCCAACCCCCACGAGTCGCTGTTCTCCAACGCAGGTCCAGTTCCCTTGGCTCACTTGAGTGTATTGCATGAAGCCTAAAAAATGGATTAATTCAAGAACCAGTTTTGAACTCGTCCATCACAGGTCAAACATCTGCATTCATTGGGAGAGTTGATATGAAGAGCCATGGGAAGGTTGCGCTTTAAGAGAGCTGATCTGGGGCTTTACACCTGCCTCTCAGGTGCTCTTCAGCATCCACCATCAAAGGCTGTTGTTTTGAACTACCCACCAAACGGCTGATAAATCCAGCAAGGGAATGGTGCCAACTGCCTGGATAAAGGAGTCCAAAGTCCAAACTGCTTTACACAATCTCTGGTAGGTGTAGAGCAGGGGTAGGCAACCTTGGCTCTTTTACGACTCCTGGACTTCAACTCCCAGAATTCCTGAGGGGAAAGGGAGAGGTTTCCAAGCTGAGCCATGCTGGCTCAGGAATTCTGGGAGTTGAAGTCCACGAGTCATAAAAGAGCCAAGCTTGCTTACTCCTGGCTTAGACTAAAGTCAAGCATTGTTCTCACATGTAAAGCAAAGCTTCTCCTTTTGAGCTTCTGTTTAAGCTTTAACGGGAAGTCATTCCTCCCTACCCACCAGAAACACCGATGTTAGGGAGAAGGGTTTTAGCCTATCTGCTGAGTTGCTAACTTTCTACAAGAGAGGGATTGTTCCATTGGGTGGACGGACCTTCTACAGATAGTCCTTGATGTACAAGCATTTGTTTAACAACCATTCAAAGTTACAACAGTATTGAAAAAATTGACTTATGACCGGTGTTCACACTTGCGATTGTCAGAATTTGGGACCTTGGCAGCTGGCAGGTACAGGTAGTTGTAATGATTGCAGCATCCCAGGGTCATGTGATCTCCATCTGGGACTTTCCTAGTCAACGGAAGTCAACGGAAGGAGCCAGATTCCTTTAATCGCTACAAAATTCACCTAACTGCAGTGATATGTTTAACAACCGTGGCAGAAAAAGTGGTAAAGTTCAAGGCAACTCATTTAACAACCCTCTCGCTTAGCAAAGAAGTCTAGTCCCAATTGTGGTTGTAAGTCAACAACTACCGTACTTGTATCTCCTGCAATTGGATGTCAGATACAGCGTGAAAAAACAGATATGCAACTTTGGGATACAGGGCCTCAAGAAGAGGTGTCTATTTAGAAGTATTAATGTAAGAGAAAATTAATCTTATTGTATATAATACAGATAGGGAAATTTGGAGAGACGAGTTGCTCGGACATTACCCCTGAATTGTATCTGAAGAGGGATGAAGAAAGGAGAGGAGAGAGAAAAGAGTAAAGGAGGGGAGAAGGAAGTAGGAAGGTTGGAGGAGAGGAGAAGTGGGGAGAAAGGGGAGGAGAGTGGTGAAGGAAAGAGAAGAGGAGAGGAAGAAGAGGGAAGTAGGGAAGAGAAAAAAGGGAGAAAGAAGGTAGAGAAGAAGGAGTGTGGATACGGTGAAAGGGGAAATGGGCGAGCAACACCAAAAGTCATGTGTATGTATTTATTTCATTTTATTAAAAGTATCATATATGAATGTAAAAAGAATGTATGTTAACATCTTATAAATATCAGGTATATGTATGGGGGAGAGTTTGGAAAAATAAAAAATTATTTTAAAAAAATCACACTTGGAAGATCCCACCCCCCAAAAGAAGAGGTATCTATTTAGAATTATAAACTTGGCTTTGTTAGGGCCCGTTCCTTTTTTTAATCTGTTGGCAGGGTGTTTATAGATGGATGGATAGATAAGTTGCTTTTGAAATTACCTATCACAGCCAAACAGGCTGAAAGCTGTTTGTCAGAGAGCAAAGTTCGAAGCTATACATTTATCCTAGGAAATTACCTGGCTCTCCATATAAACACTCTGCCAACAGATAAAAAAGGAACTGGCCCTAACAAAGCAATAAAAAAAAAGAACTGGCCCTAACAAAGCTAATCAATTGCAGCTATTCCACCTTTTTTCTGGAACAATATTTTTTTGGGGGGGAAGGGTGGTATAAAGAAAAAAATTGAGAAAGAAGGAATATTACCTGGAACTTTGATTGCATGCTGTAACTCAAGTGTTTCTCAGCCTGGGCAACTTTAAAATGGATGGACTTCCAGCTCTCAGAATTCCCAGAGCAGAACAATTTTATGGATTTAATCGCATTTAGAAACAGCCCATTTCTCTCACAGAGCAACTCTGGGGAGGGTACAAGTAAGGCGTAAAAGCATACATTGTTCAGTAAAGGCCTAATTGAGGAGAATGTGCAGGGCTTTCATTGTTTGCTTCTCAGGTGTTATGTTTGTGTGTAGAAAGAAGCAAAGGGAGTAGTGAGGAAAAATGGCCAGTGGAAAAAGTTAGCTAGTTCTTAGATACTCTTGGAAATTTAGGCAGGGTTGGTGTGATTGATGATACTTGGATGGGAGACCAAGAGATCCCAGGACTGTAGATTAAGACTGAGAAGTTGAAGAACGTGGTAGAAGCAGCAAGCGGTCCTTCACCTTCTAAGGCACAACGGGACCTGCCTGGTTTTAACTCAACTTCTTGTTGTGATGAACCTTGCCAATGGTGGTTTTCTCCACAAACTTTAGGCCCGAGCAGCCCAAAACTTAGTGTGATCTGTAAACAGTCTCCTCTTGTCTATAAGATGGCTGTTATTTTTTTTTTACCCAACTTTGTGCTTGATTTGCTTTAATCATTCCCATTCCCAGGTTAACCCACAACCGGGATCGCCCCAGACGCCGCAATCCGCTTTCAGGATCTTCAGGGCAAGCCGATCCTCCTCGGTCCGCCCCTCCCCCCCCCCGAAAGCTGAGTTACATTTCTCGGAAATCAGCGGATCCTTCTCCATAACGAAAAACGAAAGTGGAAGTAGCAGCGGGCAGAACTGCGCCTGCGCTGGAAAGTCCCGAACTCCTGGAGCAGACGCTTGCGGGAAACCTCGTGCCTAGCTACCGGTGACGACACAGCTCTTTCCATTTTTCTGATTGGTCCAGAGAGAGGGACTTTCTCTCTTAGGCGTAGTTCCCCAGCTCCGCAGAGTCATTTCGGTTGCGATCCGAGGAGCGTGCAGGGTTGCTGCCAAAAAGCAAAAAGAAAGCATGGCCTCCAAAGAGTTTCTCCTCTGGTGCGTTGTGTTGGTGTGGGTCTCCGGTCCCGCGGAAGCCACGAACAGTAAGACAACTTCTCTGCTTCTCGGCGCGTGCGGTTTTTGCGCTCCTGCCGGGGCTTCCTGCCCTCCGTCCGGCGGCGGCGGCCACCTTCTAACCAGGGCCAGAAACGGGTGACTTGAGAAGTTGCGGTGCTGAAAACGGGCTTTCTTTTTCCCTGCATTGGTTGCATTTCTCCAGGAGCTTCGGGCGTCGGGCTTCCAGCCCGTGGGAGGGGTTGGGCATGAGCGGGAGGGCTTGGACCTCGAAACTCGCAGGGACTTTGGGGGGGGGGGGGCTAAAGGTGGGTTTGCGTCTCCTGGATCTGTCCCGGGTCAGCCCAATGGTTTGCTGGAAGATGTAGTCTTAAGACAGAAAGCCCGTCTTTCTGTGGCTTGGTATAATCTTATTTCTTTATGTCCTGCCTTTATTGTTTTTACAAATATTCTAGGAAATTAAATTTGTGTCTCCTGGGTCTGCCCCGGGTTAGCCCAGAAATTTGTGGGAAGGTGGGAGTTGCCGTCTTAAGGAAGTGGGGGGTGGGGGCTTCTTGCCTCTCTTTCTGTGGCCTGCTATAATCTTATTTCTTTCTATCCTGCCTTTATTATTGTTACAAATATTTTAGGGAATTGAAAGGAAAATGTCGACCCCCTTGTGACACTTGCTTTGGAGAGACAGATTTGATTGGAAGAAGGAAGAGGAAAATTGAATTGAATTTTGTTTTTTGTTTTTCTTCTTCTTTCAGTTGATTGGGATGTAGGAGAAGGAAATGGGAGGGGTTCTCTTTGTTCTTCTATGTTTATTACGTTTTTTAAAAAGCTGCCTAAACGTCACAGGATGGCTTAAACTATTCCAAAACAATAAAAAAAATCCCCCCCCCCCCAAAGGCAGAAGTTCTGGATGTGGAACACAAAGGCCTGTGATGGCCACCATCTTGTCTTTTGTTATAAACTTCAGGGCAACCTGATTTTCTTCCCTTTGCAGTGTTTCTGACGTAGTTATGCAAAAGGGAAAAAGAGGAAGACTTGAGTAACAAGTATTTTCTTTGATTTGGAAGGGAGGATGGTGTGCCAGAAAGAGGCATGTTTTCTGATATGGTGCGTTCTCCGAAAGTAAAATAAAATAGTTATAAAATAGTCGGGAAGGGCTGTTCTAGAGCCGTGGTGGCGAACCTATGGCACATGTGCCACAGGTGGCACACAGAGCCCTCTGTGGGTATGCGCACAGGTGGCACACAGAGCCCTCTCTGGGCACGCACACCGTCGCCCCAGTCCTAGGCCTTCAGCTGGGTTTTATAAAACCTTTTCGCTTTAGGCCTCTGCCGCCTTAAAAAAAAAAAAAAGGTTCAACCAATCAATTTCAATTTCTCGTGGGGAAAAAAAAAAAGATCTCCAAAGTTGGAGTTGAACTTTTTAGTCCCACCCAGTCTGCGGTTACCACCACAGCCATGCCCACCCAATGGGCCACACCCACCCAATGGGCCACACCCACCTGTCACCCAATGATACATAAGTGGGTTTTGGGTTGCAGTTTGGGTACTCGGTCTCTAAAAGGTTTGCCATCACTGTTCTAGAGTTCCGCAGTAGTTGCTAGATTTAGGAAAAGAGAGTCTGGGAAATTAACAGTGAAAAGAAGCTTGGGCTGTTAATTTCTGACACTTGCTGGCCTTATTTTTTTTTTGTTTTGCTTTAAAAATATTTATATCCCACCTTTATTATTTTTACCAGTAACTCATGGTGGCAAACGTATCCCACACACCTTCTTCCTCCCTGCAGCAACAGCCCTGCAAGGGGGTTTGGGCTGACGGAGTGACTTCTGGTTCAAAGGAGATCAGCCCAAAGTCAACTAGCTGGCTTTCATGGCTAAGGCAGGACTTGAACTCAAGGTCTCCTGCTTTCTCACCTAGTAACAGGGAAAGAAAAGGAACAAAACATAAAGATGATTGTGATAGATACATTGCCAAAGGGGAAAAAAAAATCTTTTAAAAGGGCTTTTAAAAAAGGGAAAGCAAAAAACAAACATTTTGTTCGCTCTAAAACAGGGTTTCTCAACCTCCACAGCCAGCAATGCTGGCTGTGGAATTCTGGGAGTTGAAGTCCACATGCCTTAAAATTGTCAAGGTTGAGAAACATTGCTCTAAAATCATTGTTTTTCAACCTGGGCAACTTTAAGATATGTGCACTTCAACTTACAGATAATGTGCTGACTGAGGAATTCTGGGAGTCCACACACCTCAAGAGTTCCATGATTGAAAAACATTGTGTGTGTGTGTGTGTGTGGCACTTTTATTTAATCTTTGTTCTCCGAGAACTGGGGGTGAGGATGGGATTTACAACTGTCACACCTCTCCCACACCTCTCTGTGATCGCAGTTACAAAGATTGACCGTGCCCTGCGGTCACATGATCTTAATTCCCAGCCTGCTTCTGACATGCAAACGCAATGGGGGAGCCGGAACCACTTAACGACCATGTGATTCGCTTAATGACCACAATAAAAGTGGTAAATAAAATCAGGTCCGGTCATGTGATGATTTGCTTAACGACCGCATCACTTAGCAACCCAAATTCTGATCCAAATTGTGGATGTAAGTTGAGGACAATCTGGGCCAAGTCAGGAGAATCCTGCCTGCAGTCAAAAGGATTCATTTGGGAACCCATTTCTTTGCTTCTTTTTCTTTTTCTTTCTTTCTTTTTTAAAGTCCCCTATATCTTTCTAAAGAGGTGGCCCTGAAGCCATCTGGATAGATCAGCTGTTGGAAGCCATGTTTTCTCTGGAAGCAAAATCTGAGGACCAAAATCTATCTCAAGGCCCTCTGGGCATAGTAAAGAAAATACAAGCAAGATTACCTGGGTTTGCAACATCTTCTCTTGTTTTTTTTTTCTCCCCTTCAACCTATAGAACCGCCAGAGGTGCAAATGTATTCCCGCTATCCCATGTCGGCTGGCAAGGAGAACGTTCTGCACTGCTTCGCGGAGGGTTTCCACCCTCCAAAAATCAATGTTACTCTTCTGAAGAATAACGCTGAACTACCCAACGTCAAGCAGTCTGATCTCTCTTTCAAGGAAGACTGGACCTTCCAGCTTCTGACTTACGCTTCGGTGGTTCCCAATGGAAAAGATGAATATACGTGCAAGGTGGAACACCAGGCGCTTCTGGCACCAAAGATTTTGAAATGGGGTAACTATTTTGACTTGACTTTCTGTTCCATTTCCTCCTCTCCCTCCCCATTCTTCCTCCACTTGAAACAGGAATAGTTAAGATGTCTTAAGCCATGGTTTAGCCCAGGGGTCTCCAAACTTACCCACTTTAAGACTTGTGGACTTCAACTCCCAGAATTCCCCAGCCAGCATGGTCCACAAGTCTTCAAGTCATCAAGTTTGGAGACCCCCTAGTTTAGCTGGAGAACACATCATGGGAGTCATCAGTCTAATCTCTCTCCACATATTGCTGGTCTAGTCTTCCTGGTCTCCTTCCCCTTGGTGAGGGATCCTGGGAGTTGTAGTTCAGCAACCTCTGGAGAGTAGAAGTTCCCCACCCCTCCTGTAAAGGGGCCAGTGCAGTGAAGCTATATCCTGGGCACTGAAGCAACCTTTCGTTGAACCCAGTCCTAACTTCCAATGAACCATGATAATCTGTTGGATTTCTCGCACTTTCTGATCTTCAATCTCCCATCTCTGACAAACCATGGCTTACTTTTTCAGCCTTTCATAGTTGAGCAGTCAGAAAACAGGCAATACATGAATACTGGAATTCTACTTTATTGTCATGGGGTATAATAACAAATGATAGTAAGCGTCCCTTTTCTGTATCTTAGGATTTCAGTAGACATATTTCTAAAAAGAAAGAAGTATAATCAGTTCACTAAGTCTGATTGTTTTTATTATTCTGTATTAAATTGTACACTTCCCAATTTCCAACGATTCTGGGCAGTTGGCTTGTAAACATCATGAAAAGGAATCTGTTACAGATCTGTTGTGGATCTGTAGGCTACTGCTGGATTTTGTTCTTGCCTTCCCTAGATCGCTTTCTTTTCTTTAAGAGGATTTCTCTTGAGGTTTTTCTGAAATATACTAACTCATTCTACAAAAAGCCTTGATAGAAAATGCTGCCAGAAAAGTCTTTTTAACCATTTAAGACAAAAAATAAAAATTTAGATGTGAACTTCTGGCTGAGCATGTGAAGCAGCAGCAAAGAATTAGCTTAGAATCTGTAGGCCCTCAATGATTTGATATACGTTTGAAGAAATGTTTGCTAAAAGTTTACTCTTTTGTCTTCTACAGAACAGGATTACTAAGCCAGTAGTCTCCCTCAAACAAGGTAAGAAATGGCTGTTTCATGAAAAGTGTGCTTCACAGGAAATATGAAAATACGTGTATTATGTTTATGTGTAGTATTATTACTAAGGGAGTAAAAAATCAAGAGAAAGCAGTAAACAAAATGAAACTAGAGAGCAATGTGTTTAAGCAGCTTTTGTCAGGAAAGAGACCTGTAAAAAAAAAGAAGAAAGCTTAAACTTCAAACCAGTGTTTCTCAAACTTGGCTACTTTAAGGTGTGTGGACTTTAACTCCCAGAATTCCCCTGCCAGCATGCATGTATACGTGTGTATGTCTGTGTGTGCAGAATCCACATGCTATACTGTCAAAAAGCGTAGAACACAATAACCAAAATTATCATAATTAATATTTCTACTGTACTTTTAAAGCAGAGCTGCCTTCATTACCTGCTTATCAAAAAGTTCTTTTTACTTAACCAATGTAGGTAAAACACTTTAAAAGTCTCTGCTGTGATTGGGTAACAGGTTCATGATGTGTCTAAAAAGGTTAAATCGTGGCAACTAGGCCAAAGTTTGTTAATCTGAGATATTTTGCTTCCCATTCAGGAAGCTTAATCTTGTTTCTTACCCAAAGAAAAACCAATTTTATTCAGTGTTGGATAATTTACCCAGGTTTGGCTGAGCACTGCTTTAAACACCTTTCACAATCTTTTGTCAATCCTTACAAGAGCCCGGCACAACTCTTGCAATACTTTTAAAAGTACTTTCCCCCTATTTTCATGATTTTAATATTTTCAATATAAATTAAGAGAGACTCAAACACAGATGTGAAAAACAATTTGGTTTCCAGTCCAGTCTATAATGTACTGTACTACATTTCTTTTTTTTTTAATGTAAAATATTTTTTTTCCAGATTTGATGAATGCTGATTTGAAGCACTAGTTCTGCTGATGATGTTTCTGAATTGACTTCAAGTGCTGTTTCTGCTTATCACTGATTGAAAAGCACCAATTTTAACTTTTAAAAACTTTTAAAAGCCAGGCCTTTTCAGGAAACTATCAAAGATAGCCCTCATGTGTTTATATAAATCAGCATTTGAACCATCGTGATTTTATAATAAGTTTTCTACATTTAGAGTCATAGTCCATATGGAGTCATCATCATAAATATAGTCTCATAGAGTCGAAAGACAACTGATTAATCAATTTGAATGTCTGAAAAGGCCATCACTTTCGCTTTATTGCTATGTTAAATCTTTTAGGAATTAAGAGTATTTGCTTCTGTTATTACTGAGACAAGAATGGAAAAATAGAATTTTCTAAAAATGGTAATTAAAGTTTCCTTTTATAAACTGCTGACAGTCTTACCCAGCACATAAGTTCATTTTGTTATCCTCCATTAATGTATACATAACCCTCCAATAAAAGCTATCTTACAGTGTTTTCTTTGGAAGTTCTTTGTGCCTTTGAATGATTGAGTGAAACACCTCAAAAGTACTTTACAATGAAACATTAGGCTACATAGTAAGCAATTCATTAAAAGAGTGTACATTAAAAAAAAAAAGACAATATAAGCTACATGAAACCTGGCCAAGATTCTCAGCCAAATTTAGCACACTGCAAATGTTTAGGCCTTTAACTCAGCCGATGAAATACATTGCACAGACAATATTTAGCAACAATATTTCTCAAAAATTGCATTGCCTGAGGATTTCTTTTGTCAGTAAATCATCCTGATATTATTTGGCTTATAAATAAATGCTTCAAAATCATAGCTCCACAAGATTTGGAGTAGTTTTTTATTTTTGCAGATGTAAGATTATGAAAACAATAGGTGCCGGTTTGTGCCTGTCTGGGAATATTGGATTACAATCAGTAGGAAAGTAACGTCGAGAAAAGAATAAAATAAGAGCCGTTTGGCAGCTATTATCCAGTTTGTTCTTGCTTTGAGAGCTTCCTGAGGAGATTTGAGACTAAATTTCCTAGGGAGCCAATGGAATCTTCTGGAAGAAGAAGACAGTTGGGGAATGGCAGTTAGAAGGCAGGACACTGAAAGCAGGTTAGTGAGTAACGCAGGCAAAAAACCAAGGATTCTTCTGAACAATAAAGTGGAGACTTTATTCTGCAAAATAGGTGACTTCCCTAGAAATGCTATAAATGATAGACCAATGGGTGGAAATTGGAAGCCAGGCTCAATTTATTTTGAAGCACCCCAATCCAATGCACATCTTTCAGAGGAAAGGCTAGATCAGTGGTTCTCAACCTGTGGGTCGGGACCCCATTTGGGGTTGAATGACCATTTTACGGGGGTCGCCAAACAACGCAGTCCGCCATTTTTTTCCCCCTTTTCCCTAGCTGTCCTACTCCCTCTTATTGATGGCCTCACCTACTTGGGGGTCACCACAACATGGGGAACTGTATTATGGGATCATGGTATTAGAAAGGTTGAGAACCACTGGGCTAGATGGTGACTTCTAGGTCCCAGTGTGGCATTTCTGAAAAAATATTTTCAAAGCAGGAGCTCTTTCCTGATCTGAAATGACATCAAGTGGAAATTGGTGAGTAATGTCTACAACTGGCCAGATTAATTGGTAGAACCTTTGGATGGTCTACAAAGGTGATTCTGCAGAGTTTTCAATCATTTAAAAAAAAAATACAGGCATGAAAATTTAACAGAAGATGGCAAAAATCAATCTTCCTCAATTGACCACTTCGGCAAGGGTGGGTGGCAAGAATTTTCATCAGAAGGACTTAACCCTGGGAGCTATACTTAAACATAACTAAAGGTTTGGGACTGGAAAAACTCATCTCATTCTCTCTCTCTCTCTCTCTCTCTCTCTCTCTCTCTCTCTCCATCCCTCCCTCCCTCCCTCCCTCTCTCCCTTTCTCTCTGTTTCTTTCTCCCACTCTCTGTTTCTCTGTGTTCCTCTCTCTCTCTCTCTCTCTCTCTCTCTCTCTCTCATCTATTAAACCTAATTGCTGCTCATCTCCAACAACTTTTAGCTGATCTAAAATCTAGCTGATTCATTAGACTCTAATGATTAAATTATCAACTTTATTTTGGTTAAAGATTGTAGATGATCCAATGATGGAATTGGAGGTGACCCCAGGTACATGAACTACTAATACAATCATTGTCATTTAAGACAATCGTTCTCACGCACGCTTTCTTCCCTATTTCTGATTGTTGCTTCAGTGTCTGTTCTTTCCAGTACAATGTCCACTTCCAGTAGCAAAAATCCGTCCACTTCCTCGCTCCTTTCCCTAAACGAACGAGCAGTGAGCCCGATTCTAGCCAGCTCATCAAACACCTCATGGGACCTGCATGCAGATGACTTCACCAAGGAGTTGTCCTGTTCCCTTTGCCTCGAACTATTTAAAGAGCCGGTCATTCTACCTTGCGGCCATAACTTCTGCAAACCTTGCCTGGAGGCTATCTGGAATAAAAAGGGTGTTTTCTGCCCAGAATGTCACGTCAACGTTCCTGAACGCAAGTTCATAATCAACCAAGCCTTGGAAAAGATGGCGGAGAAGATTAAGACTTTTCACGTAGGAGGCCAACAGCAGAAATGCATGGAGCATGGTGAACCACTGACCCTTTATTGGAAGCCTCAAGGGAAACTAGCTTGTTTCACCTGCCGTGAAGCTCAGATACCGAAGGATCAATGCTCTCAGTTTCTTCTCATCCCTGATGCAGTGCAGATATATACGGTAAATGACACGCTGAGGCCTGATCCCCATCAATGGTCCCGTGAGCCAGTCAAAGGGAAGCTTTTGAAGCATCTTTCAGCAGATCACCTCTTAATATTCTGCAGTATTTCTCAAGCTCAGCGACATTAAGCCGTGTGGACTTCAACTCCCAGAATTCCACAGCCAGCATGCCGGCTCTGGAATTGTGGGAGTGTGAAGTCCACGCTGCTTATAGTTGCTGAACTCGAAAAATCCCTTGTGTTTTGTTTGAAATGATCCACACTTCAAAGATGACCCACATTTGAAGGCTAAGGATTTGGGGCATGTCACTTTTTTTCAGTGCCGTTGTAACTTGGAACGGTCACTAAGTGAACTGTTGTAAGTCGACCTGCACAAATGCCTACTTCAAAAGTGTGTTAAGCAGATGTGCACGCTCTTTGAAACGCCCACTGATTTTCTGAGAGGAACACTAGAAGCCAAACTTTCCACAGGACAAAGAAAATGAGCCCAGTCAGAATCAAATGTAAAGGACACTTAATCAAATAAAACCTGTAAAAGTGCAGTTACGTGATTATTCCCCATGTTTCAAAGAGTATGACTTCCTTTCTGCTACGTTAAAACTGAAGAAGCAACACCTTTGACGGACTTGGGGTATTCTACCTAAGATTTTGATTAGAAAGTGAACATCTATATTGATACAGGTTAGCTTTGTATTGTAAACAATCATTTCAGAATTGAAAGCAATACTACATAACCTTGCAACTTAAAGACCTTTGGACTTCAATTCCCAGAATTCTGGGAGATGAAGTCCATAAGTCTTAAAAGTTGCTGGCAGTCGAAGTCCACAAGTCTTAAAAGTTGCCAAGTTGGACACCCCTGCTGTATATATTTGCAGCATTATTTTTCAACAAACCATGAGTTAGGTAGGCCTAGTGGGCATCTAGGAAACCTACTGAAAGATTCAAACAACTTTTTAATCTGGCTAAAACGTAGCTGTAACTTGTCGTATCCATAGGAAAGGCTACTCACATTGAGACTTCAGCTCAGGTCTATCCTGGTAAAACTGGATGTGTTGAAGAACGCCCAGGAGGAGAAAATATCCAGTCATAAAGTGAGTATCACGAATTCAGTAGATACCATCCGTCTGAATTTTTTGAGGACTGGGGGGAGGGAACAATATATTTATTCCCCCATTTTGAACACAAATACATACACTGCAAGCCAATAAAATCAGAATTGGTTTTCTTTCTTGGTAGCCATTATTAAAATGAGGAAGTGGGTCTAAAGCTATGTTGCAAAAGCTCATTTATGGTGTAATTATTGTTCCATGGTAAATAATAGATCAACAATCAGAATCTCTATAACTAGTGTCCGTTAGTTGCATGGATTTTTGTTTTCAATTTTTTTTTCTTTTAATTTATTTTCAGGAGAACAAATTACAGCTCCAGTACCATATCTCCTTGGAGTTCCTAAAGCTGCACCAGTTTCTTCACACCAAGGAGAAAATGTTAATTCATCAGTTAAAGGAAGAGAGTGAAATCCTCCTGCAGGAAATGGAAGGAAACCTAAACAAACTCCAAGACAGATCACAGATTGCAAAGGACACCTTGGTCTGCATTCAGGCTCGGCTGTACCAACAAAATTCTGCGGGTTTCCTAAAAGTAAGATTTCCAGATTGACACAGTTGAACGTGGTTTGGGATTATGTCTCTGAAGTCTCAGATTTAGGACGCTCAGGCATCTGCTTAGCACTGAGAAGAAGGACGTCGTTGAGAATTACGATGTCAAGTAGACAAGGTCAAAGATAGAGCTTGCAGCCATTTGGCTTTAAGATCATTTCATATATATTTTAGAAGAAAGGTATGAATGCTACCCAGGCCTTCAAAACTGTGAAGACCATTGAGAATTTTGAAATCTAATCTACTACCTGTTTTGCTTTGTTGAGTTATATTTGTGTTATAAATGGGTCCAAAGAGAAGGCAATTTAGAAATGATTCTTCTTCCTTTTCTCTTGTTTTTTTTTTTTCTCCTGACAGGGAATAAAGCCATTTGTAGACCGGTGAGTATGAGTCTATAAGGAAATATTCTAAAATAATTATTGCGGACTTCAAGAGTAGCAAAAATATGAAGATTAACCATCCCCATTGGTTGGCCTGATCTTCCTGGAGCTGCATATCCTGCTCTGTCTGAAGGACCCAAACAAACATAAATACATAAGGGTCTTCCCTTGGGATTGGGAATCCCAACATTCAACCCTTCAGCATCTATGTAGTTTTCTTCTGTGTTGATTTAAACACATGTAGCAGTGTTCAAGCAATGAATGAGTTCCAATAGAAGAGAATTGTTATTGTTCAGGGTTGAACTGTGTGGTCCTTGGTGCTCTCTGAGCTTGATGTTTTCTTGCGGATGTTTCATTACCCAACTAGGTAATATCATCAGTGCATGGATGGTGTTAACTAGTTGGGTAATGAAAGGTCTGCAACAAAGCAACCAAGATCAAAGAGCACCAAGGACCCTACAAGGAATAAGTTAATTGGTCTATGTTGCTACTTCATTTTTCCTCCTTAGCTCCATGCAATTATATCAGACAGGAAGAAATGCTGGGGATGATGTTGGCATCAAACACAGCTCTTTTTCATATAGTAGCTTGAGGACAACATATAGCAATTCTTTGAGGCAGGAAGTATTCCTCACTGCATTGCTCTTAGCCAATATATCCCAAGACAATAGTCGTTTCTGGGATTATCCCCCCCT